GAAAGAAAAAGGAATTGGTCCGTACTAGTCCGAGCCTGACCCCCAATCGCTGCAACTCCTCAGGAGCCACGCCGCGAAGCTTAGGGTTTTGTCTGATCGTCGCCTTTTCAGGTCTCATCTTCTTCCTTCCTCTCCTTCGATTTCGATTTCGATTTCTAGCTGCTCTTTCGTTTTACTCGGTGGTGTTTTTGGGCTTCGTTGTGGTCAAAACCTCTCTGATTTCACATGATTTTGGCACTCTTGCTGCGTAGTTACGGTTCTGGGTTTCACCTGATCGCATCTAGATATGAATATCTCGATGATTTCGATCTCCGGAGTTTCGAAATTTGGGGTTTTTTTCCTTGATTGATTAGTTAATTTCATTTTTTCTTGTTCTGGGTTCTGTTAGTACTCTTTGAAGCTCGTTAAGCTGATAGATCTAGTAGATCTCATGCTATCTATACTTACTTCGATTTTTTCTGGTTTTGGTAAGCTGAGAGAGAAGTGAGTGTTGTCTCTTCTTTTCCAGTAAGTAGTTCGTAAAAGTGTGTCCCTTTTCCTTTTTAGTTTAGATCTTCAAAAGGAAAGTGATGAATGGGAGTTTCGAAACCTAAGCTGTAGAAATGTTTTCTTTTCTTTTATTTGTCACAGAACTCAAACATACTGGCAGAAGCTTGAAGGCGGTTTTTGGGGAATGTTCTTTCGATGGTTTCGTTTCTAAGGTACAATCCGAGTCCACGTTTCTTGAGCGTTCGTTCTCTGGTAGTTTGACACAGGCAAGAATGTCTAGTTTGTTGTTGTTGCAAGTCGAATAGATGTGATTATGTTTATGTTTATTAAACCAGAGAAAGATTACTTTTGCAGCCTTCTATGATTCTCGAAATTCCAAACTTTGTGTTCAGTTCTTGTACTGTGTATTGTATTTAGAACCCATTTCTTAGCTTTGGATAACCTGTCCTTTTGCGTTATGATGTGTTTTTGTCAGATGATACTCAAGATTGCTGGGGATATTCTAAGGATCTGTTGAGCTGTTTAGAATTACTTTGAAGTTTGACAAGAATGGAGGATGATAATGGGCTCGAGCTCAGCTTGGGTCTTTCTTGTGGAGGATCATCAGGCAAAGCAAAGGGTAACAATACTAATAATGCTGGAAGCTCCTCGGAGAATCATAGGGCAGAAGGAGGCGATAGAAGCGCTAAAGTGATTGACGACTTCAAGAATTTCCTTCATCCAACTTCTCAAAGACCGGCAGAGCCGAGCTCTGGTTCTCAGAGAAGCGATTCGGGTCACCAACCTCCACAGAATTTCTTCAATGACCTCTCCAAAGCTCCTACCACTGACGCTGAAGCATCCACGAAACCTTTGTGGGTGGAGGATGAGACACGGAAAGAAGCAGGAAATAAAAGAAAGTTTGGATTCCCAGGAATGAACGATGAAAAGAAGAAAGAGAAGGACTCTTCATCACATGTTGATCTGTACGATAAAAAGACAAAAGCATCCCATGTTTCAACCGCGACAGATGAAGGATCAACAGCCGAAAATGAAGATGTAGCAGAATCTGAAGTAGGTGGCGGTTCTTCTTCCAACCTCTCAAAAGAGGTGGTTCGTCCTCCTGCTGATACAAACACTGTGGACAACTTAACCGGTCAAAGGAAGAATAGCCATGGTGGATCTGGCGCTGAAGAGTTTACAATCCGCAACATGAATTACACAGTGCCTTTCACGGTTCATCCGCAGAATGTCGTCACTAGTCTGCCTTACTCTTTACCTGCGAAAGAGTCTGGACAACATGCAGCAGCTACAAGTCTAATGCAGCCTACTGTTAATGCTGGGAATCTCCCAATTATGTTTGGATACTCACCGGTTCAGCTCCCTATGCTGGATAAGGACAGTTCAGGCGGGATTGTCGCGCTTTCTCAATCTCCATTTGTTGGAAGAGGCCCATCAAACTCGGGTAAGCAAACCTTTCTCTTAAAACAGTTTAGAACTCTGATTGCAAAGATAAGAACTTTTCTTTCTCTTCCAAAAAGCTACCACGAAAGGCGAGGGGAAACAGCCTGTTGCAGAAGAAGGCTCATCCGAGAATGCATCAGAACAACCAACGGGAGACAACAATAACAACAATACCGCTTTCTCTTTCGACTTATCTGCCATAAAACCCGGAATGGCAGCAGATGTGAAGTTTGGAGGATCCGGGGCACGTCCAAATCTACCGTGGGTCTCAACTACCGGCTCAGGCCCGCATGGTCGGACAATCTCGGGTGTTACATACCGTTACAACGCTAACCAGATCAAAATCGTATGCGCTTGCCACGGCTTGCATAAGTCGCCAGAGGAGTTTGTCCGGCATGCAAGCGAGGAGTATGTTAGCCCGGAATCATCCATCGGAATGACCGCTGCATCAGCTCAGACCTGATAAGTCGCCGGGCAAAAATGTCTTAAATCTTTGTAAACAAATGGAAGGGTTTGTAATGAGTTTCTTTTGGGAATATACATTTATATTATGTTTACTCGCTCGGATCAACTCAAGCCAATGTTTCAACGGAGCTTTCTCCTTTTTTTCGTTCAACTTGTGTAGTAGTTTTGTAAGCCTTTTTTCTTTCCTCTTTTCTCGTTGAAATGAAATTATGTATTAAAATGGGTATAATTTTTTTTGATTAGTATGTCACTAGATTAGATTAAATAACTAAATATATTTTCTAATCTATTTTAATATGTAAATTTCTATGACAAAGCATATGATTACTAATGTTTATTAACGTTAAAAAATGATATGTATTGTACATAAATGTGATAAAATTAAATTTTGATCAATCATATTTTGATGTCATTAGTTTAAATATTTCTATGTGCAAAATTGATCAAAACATATGCAAATGTTATTTATTACAATATATTTTAAATGTAAAATTAATTTTTATTACCCGTGTAAATTATAGAGTATGCAATAAATCAGATAAATTTTAGATTATATAAATTTGTTGGACATAACAAAAAAACAAAAAATATATGTTATCCAATAATGAAATGTATAAATATGTGTAAGTGTAGTTATATATGTATAATAGATTATATATAATTAAATTATTTGTATAGTATGTTAATCTAAATACATATCTACACAATATATAATATCGTTACAAATATAATAATAATAAAGTTTTTAATATATCAGAGAAAAACAAAAATAGATGATATGATAAGTCTAAATATTACATTTAGTTGGGTTTAGATTTGTAAAGCGT